GGCCAACCATTTTATTAACTGACAAACACAATAAAATGTTCAACAACTGTTCAATGAAAGCGTCGGCATATCGAACCGTGGAATGTCACTTGAGTAAAGTGATTATAATATCAATTGTGACACTTGGGGACCTGTTAATTTAGTGGATAACCTGACGGTAGATTGGAGACTTTTTCACAAAATTAAATATCAGTCACAATTCAGCCAACATTGTCCGTTTGATTTGTATAAATCCCAGATGCAATGAATAGAAACAAATATTAACTTTAATCAAATTTATTGTAAAATAATGATTAAATTTTGTGGCAAGTATTTGTCACAATCTATTTATACATAGATGTAAATACCCCGGCGGAATCCAGGGACTCACTACCTGCCGACTGACCTGGCGCGATAGCGCCTGGCGCGATAGCGCACCCACAGGTGACTGTGGTGGGAACAGACCTCTTGGAACCCACAAGAGTGAAGTTCTGACCCAGGTCCTAACTCTATACCTGTCTCCCCTGGAATACAACAACAACATGGGGATAACACTCTAGGGGTAGCTGGGTACCGTAGACCCCTCAAACCTGCCCTTGGTACCGCAAGGATCAAGCCGGTCCCTCATGTGCCCTGAGGTAGCCCCCAAATCTTCCCCAGTACTGAGGATAGATTACCCAGAGTTTTGAGCCAGACATGGTAGAAATCATCATTCGTGGTAATCACCAAACTCCGCCAAATGAACTTGTCTATACAAGTTCACCCGCCAATAACGCGTAAGGTGTTTATATGAAAGTTTTAATTCAGCATTTCACCCACCTGACCTTTAAATATCAAATTTTATAAATGTACATGTATAAGAGACACTTGTAAGCTAGGGTCTCCATGTAATCAAGACTCGTCTTTGATTAAACTTCTATCAGAGCAATTAACTTCAATTTGGACTAATAACTTGCAGGAAATGCTGGTCCTTTCTATACTATGAAATCATAATGATCCAGGCGAGATGCCTGGGTCATTAAAACCAACATGTACATGTACCATCCAAGTGTAATTCAATTTACTCTAAAACAAAGAATCGATTAAATTGTGGGCTTTTCCTTCATGGACAAATGGTCTCACGTTGGGTATTTCAGTATCCTATGAATGCCATATCCAAATATCCAAGACTAAACACAATCTATGAATACCTGCTACTGGCCTTTTGTTTGATAATTTGTTCAGGAATGACTTATAATGCTGCCGCTGAAAGGAGTGTGTCTAAAACAGCATCTACAATGTTCCAGAAATGAAAAGCAGATTTTGTCAAAGGGAAGTAATGGTCAAAATTCATTTGATCTTCCTGAATTTGGCTTGCCCTACCATACGATAATACTGTTTTTATAGGGAAAGACAAATACTGAGTAGATCATGCAAGCCCCTATGCCCATCTTTAAATCTGTCTTACATGTTAATTTTCCTCCCACGGGCAATCCCTTACATTTACTAGCCATGGATGTCAGGCAATGGGGTATGTCATCACCCGAATAATGAATTATTAGTTAGGGGATTACAATTGAAATGTACCCAAAATTGGCCATGGCTGTACCAAGTTCAGACTACAATTCTTAACGATTTTTTCAACCAACTAGCTTAATGATGCCAATGTGACAGTGCTGGAAAGATATGGACCAATTATCGAAACTTGTGTTTCTGTTATTGACCTGAGATGCACGAGGACCCCAAAGCCCAAAATGAAGCCACTGTCAAAATAGAATCTGCAATGTAATTTGATATAACTACTAATGAGCTCTTAAAAAACTTAATTAAATAAAATAGTAAGATAATTGATATTAAGTACAAGTTTCTAACCAAAAACCTGACTTAAGCAGAACTAATTGACTATTTGCACGCCGAGTGCTTGTCAGTATGAAAAGTACCTCTCGCCTCCAGATGTTGAACATTTCACTGGAAGTGAGCAAACTGTATCACCCCAGACCTTAATCATATTATAACTTGTTTTTTATATCTTTTCACTGTGAATACTGTTTCTAAACCTTTTATCTTCACTAATAATTTAATACGTTCTCTTTTCACCGCATTGACATTTACTTTTCTGTACTTTTTATATCTTTTAATCAGCTACGCACTCTACTCAGAGTACACAAAATTTGCGGGCGAGTATCGAGAGATGGATAGATAGATACCTATAATATTTTGTATAATTGTTGGCTTTTATCAAAAACCAAACGTGTCATTCTTATCTATTCGAACATGATATGGCGATCCTCTTAAGCTCGCTCATTGTGAAAAGAAAATGTCCCGAAAACCTAAAGCTAATGACCTCTTCTTTGGAAAAAGAGTAAAAGGGGGGTTGGGTGGTTGTCGCCATTTTGACTATTTTGATCTCCTCTGGAAGAAGAGCTCCATCTAAAAATATACTAAAATGATCAAATTTTAAAACTTAAATTTATGAGATTTTCCTTGCCAAATGATAGTTGACAGCTTAAGATATTATACTACCCCCTAGCCTCCTTAAACTATTAAAATGAATAAGGCAGTCAGCTCCTTCGATTATGAAAATCGGCAATTAATTGAACATTCTCAACAAATGCTATCTCCTTCGAAAAGTAATGTGTATATTTACATTGTACCTATGATATTTCTTTGAACTTACATGTATCGTTATAGTTACCTGTAATCATGTCACAGAAAAAAAAAATATCCGATTTCAAGATAATTTCAGAAAATGCAAATGAAAACCGTAAGCTATTGTGAAATTTTACATTGTGAATTAATGGAAAAATATTTAACTTACAATAAACATTTAAAGGTGTCCTGGCATTTGAGGGAAATGCATGGCATTTTATTTATAATTTATGGTATTTAGTTCTTATATTTTCTTCAATCATTATATAACACATACCTGGTATAAAAAACATGTGCTTTTCTTAAGAAAATAATCTATATTGTACATAACTTTTCTTTTCTTTTAGTCGTGTTACTTAATTGGTGTTAGGCATTCTAGACACCTATCTATGGGATTATGATATAGCTCAGTTGATGTATCTTGAGATAAACACATAAGCATAGCTAGTCTCCATACTATCCCTTAGAGTCAAACCTGATGCGAGTTCCGCTGTCTTTTCTTTGGATACCTGTATGCCACGTTCAACACAAACCTAATGAAAAATATCTAGCACATGCTTACAAAAAGTGTCTCCCAATTTTCCTGTAAAATAAAAAATTATCTTAAGTTTATGCATGTAATCAATAACATTTTGCATAATTTTTTCAATTCAATCTTAGTCCGACCTGGCAATGGTTTGTAATTCGGGGGGGGGGGGGGGGGGGTAATATACGTCGAACAGAATTTATGCATTGTAGATATTACCCAGACCCAAAAGGTGATGAATCAATACTGCTTCATCTACTTTACTTCATTTAACTATACATGTATCCAGGTCGGAGACTTGCATCCAAATTGTCAAAGTCAATAATTTATAAGTGAAATTTCTCCCTTTGTAGGCACAAAGTTTACTCATGACAATTTCAGGTGATTATATTGTGGTCATATAACTTCTACCTGGTGAGTCAGAGAGAGAACCTTGCTGGGGAGGGAGGAGGGGGGTTGTATCAATGCTCTTTTGGCATAAGCTTTAAATGCAATATTACCCCAATCTATGATCATAGAGATAATTATTCGTATTGTAGCCATGGTGATAGTAACATTAACCATATAATTCAAACGCAATCCTCCATTTATTTATTTATTTATTTTGAACTACTGCTTCCAGTTCGGATCCGGAGTGATCCAGAGTACTTCCACAAAACCAAAAACTAGCGCACACTAGCATGAATAATATATAGCGTTCATATATGAAAAGGATCATTGCGAATTTATATGGACAGATAAGAAAGGAAACTTGTGGTATATCTTGCTAAACATTCTCTGAGCCAGCTTAATATATTTGAAGATGAGCTTATGATCGAATGTTACATTTTACGATATCTAACAAAGCTGACTCTTCTCATTCAATTTCCACCGAAAATAGTCACTTTAAATATCTAGTGAAATACTCTTTTTTTTGACAATCTACAATCCGAAGTTCACTTCTTGGCAGAGTCTTGTACTTTTGGCTGAAGATTGTCACTATTGAATATTGATTGTTCGAATCATTGATTTCGATTGTCACTACTGTAAACAATGCCATGCCCCAGAAATGTATATAGAACTTTCTCGACTCTCCCACAAAAGAGCAGTAGTAAGGTAGATAACTGCGAGGTACTCTCGATTATCATTACGTATCCGCATTATCATCATGGCTGCACAGCGAGCCACCAACACGCACCCCGACCCCAATCCAAAGACCCAAGCCACGCAAACACCAACATTTCTTATAATAATTACTCCATTTTTTTTTAATTGTTGAACCTACCCGCTTGTATTTCTGCCAAATTACAAATGCATGTATACATATCCATGATAAACATTTAACCTCACCCCATGAAATTTGCCACTGGCGCTTCTTTTAGCTATGGATGACTGGGTAAATCAGAATCCCAATCCTGAAGAACAGCCTTGCTACTACCAATTTCGGTTGCTCGATCTCCAGACCCGACCCATCTATCTAGAATTCGGAGCGGCGTGTGTGTTATCGTAATATCCCCCTCTTGGCTACTATATCGGCATTCTTTCACTTGGTATTCTTATACGATTTGCTGTATCAGTCTAAATTGTTCTTTCCCCATCCTCCCTGGATTGTGCGACACTACGACCCGATGGCAGCGGATATTTGTGATATATTGTTATGACATGAAATTTTGCAACATGTCTACCCTTCTAGTAGCTGTTCCAGATAAAATTATAAAACCAAAAAAAAAAAAAAACAAAAAAACCAATGTTTAAGATTTTCAAATAACTTTCTACAAATATTACTTAAGACTGCATTGAATATTGATATATTCATAGTATGAAAAAAAGAAATTATAAATAATTGAAAATACTTTATAATTCTTTTAATATAACAGATGTTCAAAGAGGGAGGTAATCCAATTTAAAATATAAGACTGTAATTTCAAAGAAAGATAATCATTTTTAAGGAAGATAACTCTAAAAAATCAATAAACCTTATAGTCTTGTTCAAAAATTTGTGTAGCTGTGATCCAACTGTGTACTGTCTGAAAATGAAATAAATACTTATATTAAGGAATAAATATTCTTATGTTACATATTTATAATGAAATATTAAGAAAATTTTGATCCCAGCAATAAAAGAAACCCTCACCAAAAATAAGCAGTGTATTAATGCAGGAATTGTAAAATGAACTTACTGAGGATAAACAAATTTCCGTCCTTCAAATCTGTCTGAAATTCCTGTTCTGTTAATTCGTAAACATCATCGTCCTTCTGACAACCATCCAGCCAATACTGCACCTGTTGTAATATATATTTGTGTAAGTCAGTTATGTACTTCATGAGAAAAAAATATTTTAAAATCTACTTTACTTAAAGACACAGACATGTAACACAAACTAAGACATTACAAATACATGTACAAGACATACATCTATAGTTATAGAGTTTACTTGAAGATTAAATGCTTTAACTTATATATTTAAAGCAAACTATATCGCTCAAATTTTAACAACCTCACACCACTGGAAAGTTATACTTCATTGTAATGAACTGTGATACGTTTGAAAGGAATACTTCGAAATAGAAATAAATTTTGCTTATCTGAAGTTTGAAACAATACAAGAATAGAAATGTGTTGCTTATTTTCAACTTTAATTTGTATACACAAAATGATTTTTAAATTTACTTCTCAAATAAAGTGTTCCAAATGTTTCAGTACTGTTTATCACTCCATACAACTTTTTAAACACCTTCAATAAGTTAAAAGTACTTTAGAGAAAACAATGTAGATGATAAGTAGAAAAGTATATTATAATCTGCCATATTTAAAAAAAAAATTGTTTGCTTGCTTCTCAAGACCAACTGATTAAAAACTGTACATTGATTTTTTTCTTTTTATTTCTCTCATCAATTTAAAAGCAAACATTTGTTTAAATATGGCCCTAGTAGTCAGTAATGCAGGCATACTAAAATTCATTAACACAAAGTCTCGCAATGTTTACAAAGTCAAGTCAAATTAAAAATGATATTTAACATATGCCTTCTTCTTCTTAAATCAATGTTGAATCAAGTAGAATTATCGCATGTGAAATAAAGCAAAGGTCTGGGTACCCTATTTTTATCTTTGGAGTGTACTTACCGGCAGATAATTGTATTGATACATATATTGAAGAGCTAATAATGCTAGATAACATGTGTACATATTATTCAAATTTTGGTCATGTTATAATTGCCGGCGATTTTAATGCAAGCTGTATAGTAAAAGATTATGGAAAATCAAATGTACTTAAGTCAAAGGAATTAGTCAATTTTATAGAGTCAAACCGGTTATTTAACCCATATAATAGTTTTAAAGCAACAGAACCTAATTCCCAATACACTTTTATTGGAAATAATACCATGCTTGACTACATATTCCTGGATGAAAGCTTTACAGATCAAGGGAAAACATTTAAAATTTTTAATGAGGGTGAAATTTCGAGTACATCAGACCATCTACCAGTGTATGTTGAGATAAAAGTGAATGAAAATCTCCATATTTTGTCACCTATCAATAAACAACTTCCAGCATGGCATAGGGCATCAACCGAAGAGATCGCATCGTATGAGAATGTAGTTAATCATGAAATAGCCACTACCGACATTGCATCAAAGATTCAAACATCTGAAGAAATAGAGTCTGTGTATAACCATGTTACATCTATTATGACTAAAGCAGCACAAAAGACAATACCAATTTCTAAATATAACAATCACACAAAACCCTACTGGACACCTGATGTCAAGAGCGCACATCAAAACGAACGTCATATGAGAAAATTATGGATGAATGATGGAAAACCACGAGGAATAGAATATTCATCCTACAGTAATTACAAAAAAGCTAAGCGTGAATTTAGAAATACTCTGGACAACGCGTACGAAATGTATATTGATGGTGTAAATAAAGATATAGATGACGCAGCAGGATGTGACGTACGACTATTTTGGCTCTTACTTAAACAACAGAGACCAAAGAAAGATAAGATATATCCAGAAATTAGACATAAAAACAAAGTAGGAAACTCTCAGGATGGTGTTGCAGAAGTTTTCGCTAAATACTTTGAAGAAATTTATCAACAGCATAATGACAATCATTTTGATGAAATCTTCTTTAAAAATACACAAGAAGAATATAAGCAAATAAAAGCGATTATTTCCAATGCTACTTTACCAGGAGGTCCTATATTGCGTTCTGAAGTCTTAGACACCGTTGTATCCTTGAAAAACAGAAAAGCCCCTGGGGTAGACCAAATACAAGCAGAGCATATTAAACACTGTGGGGAGAAAATGATACAAGTTTTTTGCAACATATTTAACGCAATCCTAGAGGTTAAATACGTTCCGTCATTGTGGAAGAAAAGTATTATTGTCCCTATACATAAAAGTAATAACAAACCAAAAGCAGACCCTAATAGTTATAGACCAGTATCGCTTTTATGTACAATTTTTAAAGTGTTTGAAAAAATCATTCATGATCGAATACAATCATTGATTTTGTGTCATGAGCATTTTCCTAATGCTCATCAGCAAGGGTACCAAAAAAGTTTAAGCTGTACTACAGCATCATTTGTATTACAAGAGACCATATACTACAATATAGAAAACAAAAGCAATGTATATTCGGCATTTTTAGACAGTACCAAAGCTTTTGACTCCGTGTGGAGACAAGGTTTGATGGTTAAGTTGAATAAATTGGGGATTATTGGCAAATTATGGTCTATCATTGATGATTGTCATATAGATACACACAGTGCTATTGTTGTTAATGGATGCATGTCAAAATGGTTTAATGTTGAACAAGGTGTACGACAAGGGGGAGTTTTATCAGGCTTTTTGTATTCAGTTTTTATCAATGACTTGCTCATTGAACTTAATAATGCTAGTAAAAATATGGGTATTTTAAACACCAAAATTTCAAACCCAACCCTTGCAGATGACATAGCTTTGTTAAGTTTGACTCCAGCAGGTCTCAAAATGTTACTTAATGTTGCCTATGAGTACTCATGTAAATGGCGTTTTAATTTTAGTGCTGAAAAATCAAATGTTGTAATAGTTAGAGACAATAACAAAAAAGTATTTAGTAATTACGCTTGGCATGTTGGTGACAAGGTCATACCAATTTCGACAAATTACATCCATCTTGGCGTACAACAGACATCAAACCTTCGAGCTTTACCGAACACAATCCGCTCATGTGAAAAAGGAAGGAAATCATACTTTGGAATAAAAGCAAATATGCTTAAGAAGCCTCATCCCAGAACGTTAGTTAGTATTTATAGGAAAGTCGTATTACCTTCAGTATTATTTGGCTGCGAGTTATGGAACAACTTAAAAACAAAAGATTTAAACATTCTGAATAGATTTCAACATTTTATTGTCGAAGACATACAAAATTTCCACAAATCAACAAGGACGGCTGTTTGCGAAAGTATGCTCGGATTACAACCAATACAAGCTGAAATTGATAAAAGAAAATTATATTTCTTCGGAAAGCTCTGCTGCATGGATAGTAATCTCCTTCCGAAACAAGTCTTTACTTTACGAATGTTCGAGTATCTTAACCATAACCAGACATCAAAATTCGGTTTTGTCAAAGATCTTATCCATATTATCCAGAAATACTCCTTAGAAAGATTTCTTCATACATACATAAGTAATACCAGTTTTCCGTCCAAAAATATTTGGAAGAATATCGTAAAACAAGCAGTTAATTCTCACTACAATTCTTCACGGAAAGAAGTAATTTACTCCGATCCAGATTTCACGGACAAGTTTCTCCATACATCTGTGCATTTGGCTTCACTCTGGACATATCCGCTTTCAACAAAAGAAATGCAAGTGGTTAAGTTCATTGCAAATCTATGGACTCTTGTACCAAAAAAGGACATATACGAGTGCATAATCTGCTCGAATCCCTTTACAAACAGTTTCCAACATGCCATAGCGTCGTGTTCTATAACATCTCATGAAAGATCTGAATTTATGTTTGAATTATCAGACGAATACAACAATGTTTACACAGATTTTGTTAGTTTAAATGAGTACGATTTTTACTTATCTGTTCTTAGGGGTACCCATGACCAAGTATTAGACAAAAAGAAGTTTATGTTAAAATGTTTTTCATTTATAGTTTCTAGTATAGCCATTTACAACGACAATGTGTATGAAACACAAACATGAGGTTGTTCTTTTTATGTTTTCATACAGCGTATACAAACAAACTGTATATACTTGTTCTATACATATATATTTATTTGTTTTACTTCTCATTGACGTATATATGTTGTAATTGATGTGTTGTAATTCAAATCTCCAAATGGAGGAAATAAAGAACGAACGAAAATGAAGAAAAACTAAAATATAACTTAACCCTGTAAACAAAATACACATCTTATATAGGTTTGGGGATGTGGAATTGTTACAGTGATTTACAAAATGTTCATTGTGTGATTTACCTACATGCAAACACACTATACCACTTTAAAATGAGTTTAGTGTAAACTTCATATTAAAATGCTAAATACTGAAGTAATCAAAAATTACTTTGAATATTCCATTCTCATAAGCAAGGATTTCCCCATTCCATTCAATATTCTCGTATTCGTTGTTTGTCCAAACATGTATGATTTTTTTTCCCACTAGAGAAGATGGAACCACTAAGTTTTTCTGTTGGGTACTTTCCCTTTTGAGTTTTATAATACTCTTCAAGTTTTCAATTAATATTTCTAGACTAAAGACTTTTCCTTTCTCTGAAAATTTAGTTAAACCTTTATGTTCTTTTTGAAGGGAAAATATTGTTTTATATAGATTTAATTGCTTTTTTACTGCTGAGATTTTTTCCGTCTTCTTCTTTATCTTTTCCAAGGTTATGTCAACCTTACTTTCACAGTCCCACAATCCATCATCCGAAATCGACTCCACTGCTTCATTAACTTTTCTTTCCTTCCTCTCTTTCATTGCTTTAACACTGTCTTGTCGTTCTTTTATAATTTTCAAGTGATTTTGAAACAATAATTTTTATTCTAACTTATTCTTTGACAACACTTCTCTTCCTTCCTTCCTTACGTTACTTAAAAGTTCTTTCTTTTCTGGCGTTGTTTTTCCCTTCAACCATTCACTTGTCTTATTGTCACAGAATAAAATGTGTTTCTCAATGCTAAAAACACTAGATGTTGGTGTGTCTACCATTTTTTTGGTCTAATCTACCCATTAGCCTTTCTACGGAAATATTGTTTGTGGCACAACTTTCACACTTATTTACAACATCTTCAGATGGATTAAAAAATTTTCCAGTTTCTTGTATAAAAGGACTAAACAGTCCCAATGATTTGGTTTTTAAAGATACACAAAACTTTTTTAAAATTGTACATGTTACATCATTATAAAAATCATCATATAAAACATCCTCAATTTCATCAGTGGGTAAAAAAGGACCATAAAACAGAGAATTTTTTCTTGATAAAAGTAAAATAGGTTCTTGTATACAAAGATCTAAAAATTCCACAACTCTTCTGTACACCTTACCCATGGACAAAGCAGTGGGTAGCTCTTCTGCCTTGGACCAATAAGGTTCAGTAAATGAATTGCATATAATACCAAGTGCTCTTAAAATACATAAAATATGATTGTTTTGTAAGCCACACACGATAAAATCAGTACAAGTATTCAAAGAACTTTTTGTGGATAACAAATACTGTAAAATATGCTTTCTCATACAAAAAATTCCTACAGCATTATAAAACAAAACATTAAATCTATTCCCTTTGACTTTCACCACAGGTACTTTGTCAAATCTTGTTCTTTTACATAGGTTGCTGTTAAAAAAGGATCACCTGTTCCATCTTTAAAAAAGAGTTTTGATACACATGAAATGAGATAAAAGGTGTAAGATTCCTTACTTCTACAAGATACATTGTTAAAAGAAACATTTACATCTTTTTCAAAATTTAAAACTTCTTTCAAACACTGATCTGAAAACTGTAAAAGAGCATGTACAGAGCATTTAAAAGAATAAAAGTCCTTGTCACAATTAAAATCATCCCTGCATTTGTTCATTAAAATACTATTAACTTTCTCTTCTGTAACACTACGGTCAGTCATAAAACTGGAAATCTTATTTGAAATGTCACAAGACTGACCATCAGTTATTTCATTTAAAATATTTAAAGTAGCTTGGACGTAAGTGTCAGCCTTGCCGTCACTTACTTCCTTTAAACCAGCAGTAAAAATATTATCATTTGTGGCTATTTTCACACCATAAAAATGTCTTCCTTTTTTGTGGTAGCATCTCTATGCATAGTTAAATTTTCATTATTTAAAAAATTTTCTTTTAACTGTTTTTACATAAAATACCCATTTCATTGCTAAAAATTGCATTAGTACTCTTAGATGGTAGTTCTTTTACTTTAAAATTCACTAAAGATAAAACAGCATTAACTACTGTTTCAACATGTTCGATACCAATGTTATGCGATCTAAAAAAATATATAAGTTCCCTAATCCTATGATCAAATGGTCTACCTCTAGTATTTTCCCTAAAATCCAAAACTTTAACTGTGTCACACCCTTCCTGTTCTTCCTCTTTTTCACAACGTAAAATATCAAGTTCTTTTTGTAAATAATTTAAAATACCATTTAACGAGTTGCACTGAACACTTTTGTCTCTCAGTATTTTATCTACCGGTACACATACTTTTTTGTCTTTTTTTCTGTCTATCTTCTCTTCTTTTTTTCATTTTCCTTGATACATGTGATTTTGATCGCAGATTTTTAATAATTCTGTCTTTCCTTTGTATGGCTTGTTCATATCTCCTACTTTTAATTTTCTTTAGCTGATCTTTCAAAAGCAACACTTTCTTTTGTAATTGAATAATCTGAATACTCTGGTCTATTGGTGGTGGTGGTGGTCGTGGAGGTGGCAGTGAGGGTGGTTCAGCTTTAGTTGTCACTTTCACTGGTACACTAAATGCACTTCTCAAAAAGTGTTCACATTCACATTTTTTTTCCCTTTAAGCTGTTGAATCTTTGCTTTAGTTCTTTTAATTTTAACATAAATTGATTTCTTGTCAATTTCTTCCCGACTTTTACCAACAACTCTGCATATATCACTCTGAATTGAATTGATGTTTCCTTTGCATCTTTCATATATTTCGACCACTAATTTGTTGGTTAGGTACATTTTGGTTATGATAAGTTAGTTTTAACAAATATATTTACCCTATATACACATATACTATGTTGGCTGTTTTGAAAGAAATGATGATATTGCATGTTAGTAAAACAAGACAAACACTAGACGATACACACACATCACACACATATATAATTCATACTGATAGTGTCGCCTGCATTGGTATTATATTTTTTTTTTCAGACTGACAGATGGACAAGTGCCATAATAAGTGATCCCTCTGTATTATTTAATAAAAACATACCTTAAAAGTTCAACTGAATAAATCTTTTTTTTTCTTTTTTCTTTTCTTTTCTTTTTTTATTGGCTTTAGGAAAAATCCTCAATAAAGAAAAACCAAAGATGAATCTGAAAATAAATTTCATGATATATATTAAATTATTTATTATTAAAAAAAAACAATTGTCATTAATAATTTCAAAGAATTGTAATAAAATCTTAAATTTTTTATGTGGCAAATTTTATGTGTTCTTCTAAATGTTGTAAAGAAATTACCTTCGAGTTTTCCAACAAAGGGTATGTACAGGAATAAATAAACAAGTGAAAGAATATTTACACACAGTCTCTGGCTAGGTAATCAGTGAAATCTGGAAGAAAAAAATGCTTATTGTTGCAAATAATTGTATGTAAGCAATGACATTTAATGAAATTCTATTTACCTTGATTATCCAGCAAAGTCTATTTACACCTCATAAAGCATCCCAATATAACAGGTGAATTTTATCTGCAAAAAGATATAACACTTTTTTCATATGATATATTGAAAAAGACTATGATGTAAGGGAGGTAACTCAACTATTAGAACGGTTGAAAGTATTGGGAGGCATAAAATGAATTGAATAAATTTAACTCTAACTTGATTTTTCGTAAATATATATTTTTATATCTTAAATTTACATATATCAATTAATTATTGAAGGAAACTATGAGTGTGTCCTCATGTTGCCATTGTAATATCAATTTTCCATGTCACATTACTGAGGAATTAAAATCTTTAAAAAATCAGAAAGAACAACCCATAGCTTCCAAAATTTCAGTAATCGTACATATTGTAGCAGTATGTCTACCACTTACGAAAAGGAGTGAAACTTGAGCGTACTCCATCAGTATCCTCCAAAAAAAAAAAATTTATTCATATTTTCATTGCGCCCGTGTACATAATAAAATACCAATATTCGTGCTTTACGTGATTTTCCAAAAATAAAACACTGTCTGAAAGATGATTTTTACTCAAAACTAACCAACATTACTTTATTTTTGTAATGTCAAGGTCCTATCTTATTTTATATAATTAATAACAAAAAATACTTACTTACTCCGAGCCATAAGAAGTCAACATGGCCGACTCCGAACAAGTTCTGCAATAGATTAGAGTTATCGTTCTTGGCAAAGATGGCGTTATCTGGAAAGGCTACTTCTAGCTTTTTCGGTAGATTATGACAATCAGCGTCATAAGGTGCTTGATATTATTATGTAATCTATTTAAAACCCATAGTCTCGATAATGTTTAACTACTACAATTAGAACGCACGAGTTATCGCCCTTGCTCTAGTATTAAATGTATTTATTAAAATATGGTGATAAATGCGATAAGTTTGAAATATCCATTCTATGCAAATAGACCAATGGCCAAGTTGTGGCTCGATGTAAACAATGTCTTTGAAAACTGGTATGTATATGAATAACAATAAAATGTGACAAAATTGTTAGACCCTAGTCCCAAAAGCCAGACTGGTGTCGCTTGGCATTATTTTGTAGTTTCATGTAATATAATATGCCAACACCTGCTCTTAGGACATTGTTTAATACCTAAAAAAACATAAATTTAATAAAATTCGGGATTTTATTTTGCGAAAAACACTGGGACCAAACTTTTATAGCTTACGTTCACTCATCCTTTAAAAAAAACCTGAGAATAATTTCTCAGAACAAAGATGTAGCTAGGATTTCGGTATCCATATTTCATACCTTCTGCTTTGCAAATAAAAAAAGTGAGGATAACGGACTAATTATTATATTTTGAATATGTTTGACATTTTCATAAGAACCCTATATATTTTTAAATTCTTGATGCTATCACTTATTTTTTAACAAGATCTAGATTTAAAGGATTTTAATACTTGAAAGAGTTACATTGATTAAGATGACTTGAAGTGCTCAATTTCCGAAAGATTTCATTCCTAATTACCAACTATGTGTCACGTGATATGTGTCAATTACTTCGAAGAATCGTGCTTCATTCTGTTTTCAAGCCACTCAGAAGACATATATTTAAGGAATTTCTTCATATTTAAGCATTGCAGTGTCCAAAGTCTTTTAGGAGGTAAGCCTTTTACAAAATTATTATTTAAATCACATTAACTCCTCAACTTTCCGCCAAGGCAAATTCATTTTATTTTTACCGTTTCAATTTGTTTGAAGTGGTCAGTGGAAATTTTCAAAACTAATTCATTTATCGAAGAATAAGCACGTGAGCTTTTTTGTCAAACGTATATTAAATTATGTTCCCTCCAAACATTCATTTCTAGATCAATCGATAATGCATTGGAAACCTCTTCTGGTTGTTTTGTTGATCTTCATTATAAATGAAGGTAAGAAGATTTTTTTCAATCAAGCAAATTAAAAAGACCAGTAATTTAGATCCGGAAAAGGCAAAAATAAAACATTTGAAATTCTTAAATTTTCATACCTTTAATATATTTTTTATAAACCATGTTTTACTTTTGTGTTTTTGTACATTGTATCCTAAGGTACGCACTGCTTCGTTGTTAATTTAAGATATTCTGCATATTAAGCAAAATAATATAAGTCGAGAAATTAAGTCCTAGACATAATAAGAAAGTAAAACGTTTAAAACACATTTACTATATCTTAATAAAATGCGTTTTATGACCAATGTCATATCTTTATACATTGATTGTAGAATTATGGAATTTTTAAATTAATAAACCAAATTTGATATATTCAGCATTGGCTTGAAATTTTGTTTACTTTTTTTCGTTAATTTTATCATTTTTTCCCCTTTTTTAAAATACACTTTAACCAATATGGAAAAAATGTTTTCTATTAAGAAGCACGTTAATTAAAACAAGTCGAATTAAATACGGAAAAATATCTCGAACTGTAAATTTTTCATTCATTCGTATATTAATGAAATTTATTTTACTTAATAATGCTCGGTATTAGTTTTGGACTATGTGTGAAATTAATTAACACTCGTACTTTATTGCTGTTAAGTATATAATTTTAGACACATGGAGGTATATTTAAAGTTCATGATTTTTTTTATCGAAGGTAACATGCGAATATCTTGACCTTTATAAGCAAGATCAGTTTGATATGTGCCTTAAGCTCACGTAAATAAAAGTCAGAAACGGAGATGTATGTTCAATTCCTTTAAAAAACTTCTTAATTCAATTATTTTGTTTTCTTAATTGGCTAAACCTTTTTAACGGTTGTTTCAATATTAAATCTTTATTAAACATCCCAATATTAAAAGGACAAACTTAACTTCAACCTTCTTTTCATTGCTTTGCTTTAATTGTAATATTTCGTGAATACTTTTACTCTATTTTATTTTCAAGGTGCAACAATCTCAGAATACCAACCTCGACCTAGAATCTTCCCATGTGCGCCACTGATAAGTTGCCATACGATTGAAAGGTGAAGTATAATTTATAATCAAAAATGTCTTTATAATATTTGATTTGTAGATAAAACATGAATTTATTTTTTAAATAATATTTTACATTTGTTTTGCTACTAAGCGTCGACAGATGCAGAAGAGGATTCCGAAGATTGGAACCATGTTTATTTCTTTTTTTTTACCAAGTGGGGGAGAAGAATTGGGTGGGGGGAGTTATTATTGAGTTAATGGTAGCAAGGGCGGATAATTGATATTTTCTGGAATATATATTGTTTTACTGTCCATTTTTAATACAAAGGCAATTCAACACACCTCGATCAACCGCAGTCTCTTCTCATATTACAGATTTAAATAGATAGAGTCTCATGCATTTATTTTCCTTCTTTTACCTTACTATCCTTCTCTTAACTTTTTTATTTGTAGATGAATGCTAGAAAAAAAAACGTTCTATATATTTCAGTATACGAAGAAATTGTGTGATGTTGTTATCAGATTCCGATTCTTCGCATTTTTGATTGCATTTCGAAGAAACTACACAAAATACTGCATTTAAGGGATTAAGCATCAGTAAATTAATTCTTTGTTTTTTTTCGTGTACTTACTGGTAGATATAAGAAAAATCAAATTTAAAAAAAGAAGTTTGTTTTATGTCAACCATTTTTTTGGGCTTACATTACATCTTTAAAAAAATGCAAAGATGTATAGCATATAACTCTCATTCAAGTGTAATCTGAATCATAACGTTTGAAAATGTGATTGTTGATAACAAAAACATTTTAAATAAAAAAATTATTAAATACTCATATTTGCAGGACTGATGAAAGAGGAATGCAGACCCTCTGGGGAATTCTACATAGATCAAGAAATGGACAGATACCACATCGGAGCGTTCCTCAAATTTGATCCGTCTAGATACATGTACATATGAGGACTAGAAATTTTACATGCTTAGGAATTAAACATATAAGAAAGATTCAACATTTTTGTATGTTGTTTAATGTCCCTTTCGAGAATTTTTCACTCATATTGCCTTGAGACGCCACCACGTGCCGGTAGAGAGTTGCAGATTTTGTACTATGCTCGGCACTTTAGGGCCATTGAGGAGGGTTGGATTTTATCGTGCAAGCACCTACTGCGACCCGGGACCTCGGTTTATACGGTCTCATCCCTGCGATGTAAGGATCAGCTCTTTACTTCGCGACTCAAGAGCAGACGCTCCAACCACTGCACCACACGGGCGACCATTTAAAAAGAAGATGACAACGAAGTGTATAGAAAAATGTATGAATTCTAAACATATTTATTTCTAATGTGCTTAGAAATTAAACTTAATTTTCTAAACACATTTTCTTAAAATCTTCTCAAATTATCTGCATTATATTACGTCCTAAATTTTGCAAAAGCATTTCATACAAAAATAAAATAATACATATCTTATGTGAAGACGGTACGGTTTAAGCAATATTGTGCCCTAAAATTTTTATTGCTCTTAAAAGTTATGAAATTGGCTTTAACAATAGTTGAGTAGATGAATATTATAGATCATTAAAGAATATGGCATAAAGAAGAGCATTTCCTGAAAATATGACGTCATTAATTTGGTACATTTTTAAGCTTTATGCAGAAAAACTTCAAAATGACTCATTCTAATGCTAATTTTCCTTTAGAAAATAGTGTCTGCCACCGTTGCCCGCTTTAATTTTTTAATATATTATGCAAACAGGTATGGAAAATCACATATTTCAAAATTTTCCCGGGCGACAGTGGCAGAGTATGTTTTCTGAAAGAAAATTCCACTGAAAATTGAGGTCTTCTGCAACTTTTTCAGAAAATACGGGAAAATGCACAGGTTAATGACATCACCATTGGCATTTAGGAGGTCATATGATTTCCTATCATTCAGAAAGAATTAATTTTCATTTCTTATATATCACTTTCATATTGTAGAAAAATATAGGGCTTTACTTTTATAATTTTAATCTTAATACTTAAGGTCAAGATCTAGTAAATGTCTATAGACTAACAATTTGGAGCTAGATCCATTATGAAGTCATAATCACTTTCAACTTTCTTTTTCCCGTACTTTACAGGTCTAATAGAATTATGTAGAAAATAAAGTATTTGCACGGAATTCAATTTGAAATCACTTAAAAAGTAATCCGGATACCTATATTAAATTTGACATTATTTTAAAGTAGAGACCAAGAACATACAAATTATCGTTTTCTGAAAGACTGTAGGCAATCTGGCTACATTTTCTTTGTCTGATATGGAAAAAACTTCCATATTCATAACTGGTTTTCTAAATTTCTCATTAAAAATGACAGTTTGAAATATGATTTTTTTCATCTGGTTTACCAACAAATTATGCCCCGAAACACCTTATTAGACCAAGCTTAAGTTATAAAGGAGCATAAAAGGAACTTATTTCTTAAATTTGATAAATATGTAGGCACCTCTCATTTACTAGATCTTGACCTTAATAAAATGTCAATTTTATTGTGTATTGATAAAGAATATAACAACTATAATGCAGAAATTCAGAGTAAATGTGGGAATTATTTTGAGAAAATTTTAACTTCAAAATCTGTGTCTATGCACCTTTATTAACACAACACATCATAAGTGACATTTGGAAGTGCAGAAAAATTTGTAGACACTTGTAAATTTAGGCCCGAAGACTCATACACAATACAAATAATTATCAACAATTTCAAAATAATATGTTGTAACATCTATCGAATAAATGTGTAGTAGTTCGAATTTTCTCTTCGCCCAAGCGTTGTCGTTAGAACTCACTGGATCATGTAACCGATTTAAAAAAAAATATTTTATCACAAAGCCTCTGAATGTGTAGATATGTACTTATTTAATTATGTACTACGATGCAATGGATACAGTGTGATGTACCTAAATTACACAAACTTAATTTAATCTCATTATGTGCAACCAGCATGACAGGTTATTCATAACGCAGAGATAGATCAATATTGCAAGTATTATATAAAAATAGTTAACAAATATCAATATCAACTCCTCTCCGACAAGTCTATAAACGAACCCCAAGTCACTGTTTACACATTGCTCAAGCGGTTCATTAATACAAAACTTTAGAAAAATCATTCAAATTAAGCATTTTGAAAAACGAAGGAGAGGAGTATGTCCAACATTTATTAAGAAATCTGATTATTTTTTTTACGTTGACAGAGATATCCGTGGACACCGTTAAAAACAACCATCATATAATCGCATGAAAATATTTTCACAGCAACCAAACAGGTCAATAAAAAAGAAATAAAAAATAAATTTGAAAGGGTTACAGGCCACAAAAGGCAGATCCATTATCCGATGATAATATTCATATCGAATTCGAATTTTAATACTCAGAAATGTTGGAGACTGCCTCATCCATTTTAAGCACTAATAAATACATGCACAGTTTACGGAAAATTGATTTAACAATTAATTATCGTTTTTACATGTATGACTAAGCACAAAGAAGAAAGACCAAGTCAATCAGGTCAACATTAAAAGAAAAACAGATTTCACCCTATGTTTTGATTTAGAAATTACTATTTAGTTACTAAAAAGTGTCCGTAACTACATGGAAAATTAGATATACATTTGTATTAAATGTTAAAACCACTGGATACTACTGACAGCAAAGAAAAAAGGAGAAAGACCTGCTTAAATTAATTAGATGTCTGTTTTAAGCAATTATAATTCTCAACATTTAACCCTAGCGGCATTTGGAAAGCCTACAAGAAGAGATCATTGTTTTGTGAAAGAAGGATATGGAGATAACGAACAATATTTAGTCTCAAAGTCCATAAAACATTAGAAACTAAGAGCAGAGCAAACACGGACCTCAGAAACATCAGAGTTGAGATCAGGTGCCATGGAGGAGTAAGCAACAAAAGGTTAGAATTAGTAAGGATCAACGCCTTACTTACTCTAGAGCATATACTCTAAATACTGAGTCTTGCGGGCAACAAGGAAAAGAATGAGCCTTAATACAAATATCCTTTAATCATTGCTAAAATAGTACTTAATTTATAAGTAATCAAGACTTTTTTCCGGCGTCTATTTTTCATGTTTTAATGATACGTAGAAAGTGATTACACTACAAATGTTTGTTCTAAATGACCTTGTGGAATTATACTACAAGGTACAAATATTTGTTTTAAAGGACTAAGTTGAAACATTCTTAAATAAAACAAACAAAATGTTGTAATAGTGAAAATAAAAAGCCATATACTAGTAAATAAAAAAAAATCTTCTTTCCTAAACGTAGCAGAAATATAGCGTCATCACATGCATACGTAGTTTATATCCCCGATAAATCTCAGTTGATTCGATACACAAGAGCATTCTATACGTATAAACAATTTCCAAAACGAAGTAAATTATTGACAAACAAGTTAATGAAACAAGAGTATCAGTTGTCATGTTTAAAATCCTCATTTCGTAAGTTCTGTGATCGACACAATGACTTTGTCAGCAAAATGCTGACTAACTTTTTTCCTACAAATTGTTAGTCCAATTTATGAACTGATTGACGACGGATTTTCCCATTATTTCCCAATTATGACAAAGAGCTCACGACGAGTGTGACCGGTCGGCAGGGGATGCTTACTCCTCCATTGCACCTGATACCAACTCCGATGTTTTCGGGGAAGTATTTGCTCTGTACCTAATTTGTATTCTCCATATGATTTATTACTTTAAAATGTATGACAAAGTCTATAGCGGACGCATTTATTCGCATTTCCTAAAATTAAAATATATGTGAGATTTGTTTATTTACCATCAAAAAATGGGAAATTAAATTCAGTGATATATTTTGAAGAAATGCAATGAACAAAGCTAAAAATAACATATTTTTGTTTGAATTTAGAGACAGTTGTGAGGATCAGCTTTGATGGTTATAACTACTTTTGTCGCAATTAATTTCCTCATACTCCATAAAATATAGATAATCAGGCTGGGGAAAGGTACTAGTAAATAATGCTTAAGATGTGCTATAACATTCACTTTCCTGCAGGTTTTGTTTGTTCTAAAGAATAAAATCCAAATCGAGATGGAATAAGAGCTCTGAATGGCTTATATATTTTACGGATTATTGTTTTCTCAAATAAGAAAACAAAAACATAGGCAATTTTTTGTAATATTTTATTCAATCTTTTCAATTTCGGAAGACTGGAAACTTACTAGAAGTCTCTTCATCCAGCGATTAAATAAACGAGCACCAGAATAAGCATTTCTTCATTTTCTGTACACTTGATGAAATGGGTTCCAGATTATTAAAGAAAGAAAATTCGGTTATTATACTATGGCTGTTACTAATGATTACGGGTCTTTTATAATAACTATCTACCGTACTACTCAAAGTTAACTTTCTTTAGAATTTATTCAAATTCTAAATCTCTTCAGTTTCCTTCACAAGAGGCTTTGCATTTATGATTGTAATGAAATTATTTACAATTTATAAAGCACATTTCACAACAACTCTTTCACTAACATAACTGCCCTTAGTGTGTGTCTTCAAGTAGCCGATACAGATTTTAAAATAAGACACTTCTTTGACATATACGAGTCTTCTTGCTTTTAGGGATATTGTTTCTTTTCGTCATTCATTTATAAGGCAATAATTGTCTCAAATAAATGTTTCAATAAAATAAAATCTTAAAGCGATGGATCGTGTTAAAACAGGAAGTGCTATTGATAAAGCATTCACCTGTGGATAAAGCATAAGTTTATCTAATTGGCTGAATCTCACACACGTATGAAATAATAATGGTTATGCCAACGTTTTATAACAGTTTGACTACGATTATGACAGGTCAACAGGGAATGCTTTCTCCTTCTGTCCACCTGATCCCATATCTGATGTTTCCATGTGTCTCGTTTCTAATTCTTGCCCATTTGTTTTCTTTATTTGACACATGAACTTCGCCAATTCTAAAAATAAGAAAGGT